GGTTTATTAGGGTTTGGTAAATGGAATAACAGGACTAATACAGCCTGGAATAGTTTATACAGATTTCAAAGATCAACCTAAGGAATCAATTGTAAGCATTTAAATAACTAGAATTAATGATGATGGATGCTTAGACAAAGATGTTAACATAAAAGTTTGAGTGGATGGAAGAATGTTTTGGCACTTAAAAATGGGTTGGTAGAAGGAAGACAAGATTAGTTCAGATTGGCCTGTTTTAGTTGATTTGAAAGATCTCATTAAAAAAAAATTTTAAGTTATTAAAAAGAAGAAAAATGATGGTGAATGGTTCTTTGGGATAAAATTTAGATCTAGTTTACTTGGTAAATTCTGTGGGATTTAAGGATTTATGATGGTGTAGAGAACAAGACTAGGTAGTTGTCCACCTAAGCTTGACCAAAAAAGATAAGAAAGGTTTTAGAGTAAGTATAAGGGCTTCGGTGGTGGGTCGTTGAGCTTAGATTTTGGTTAATAATTAGAGATGCAAGAGAGTGATTGAGAATAAATGTCTAAATATTTATAAAATACTAATAAAACAAATAAACAATCATACCCCAAAAAAAGACCAAAATAAGCCATCAAAGACTAAGACAAAGGGCCCGTTTGGGGCAGCTTATAATTGCAGCAGTGTTTTGAAAATGTCGTCGTCGCGTTTGTTTCGCACGTTCGAAAAACTTATTGGAAAACACCGTTTCGATTTTCTTAATAGACGGGGCCACGGGATTGACCCCGCGGCCCGTGTCTTGACTCCGCGTCGAGCAAATTTTTACTCCACTGCCCTTCTTCTGTCAGTCTCCTCCCTCTCCTCCCTCTCTGAAAATGAGACAGCGTCGTGATCGTGTCCTCTATGGCTTCGTTCTTGACATCGCGACCTCCCTCGTCTACCTCTTCGCTTCCATCAATACTTCTGGTGCCTTCCCCCGCTTTCTCTTTCCCCGCTCTAATGGCTCATCCGCTTCATGTTTGGTAAATTCCAGCTTCTCCTCTTCTCGTACTTCCATAACTGAAACCCTTGAAGCCTTATTACGCAGCGGCAGCGGGTTCTTGCCCTTACATCGACATTGATTTTGATTGCTATAAGAATGGGTGACCTGATGATGAATTTTTGAGATGGAGATGGAAGCCACATAGCTAACGGCATAGTTGGCTTTACTTGAAATAAGCACAATATGTTTTGATAAGCAATTCCATCTAAACCTTTTAAAACGAAATTATGGAATCAAATGTATTGTTTAAAACCGGATTTATGGAATCTTGGATTTAAAAGTGGTGTTTTGGTTTCTTGGAAAATTAAAGTTATATGCCCTTAAATTCGTTGCCAGAAAGTCCCTAAATTGGATATTTGAATATACATTTGATACTGCTCTCTCTCTTTCTTTTTCAGCTTACAGACTTTATTTTTCTACTATATCAGGAGAATTATAGCTGCATCATTTACTACTATGAACTGTAGTAATCAACCAAAGTCAGCAACTCCGCTTCTGCCAACTTCTATGGGAGCTAACGAGACTATTGCATGTTCCAAAACTGATAAAACGTTTTCAGTAATGCCGGTAAGCATTCCATCATGACATGGTAAAAGCTACAACTTTGAGTGCTCTGTTTGAGAAAGATGCCTATGTAAATGCCCCTTTCTTTTAACGGGGACAACATAGCCCTCGTCTCAACTCTATATATTATCTACTCTTCCAATTTTTGCTTGGTGATATGCAAGTTTTTTTCTTGTTTTGATTCTAATATTTGTGTTTGTACAACTAATGAAATGCAAGCATATTATTATTATATTTCTAAAACAAGGGGATCCCAGTGCATAGAACACCCTTTGGAATGTGAACTGCTTGAAAGCAATTCAATTTTGTTTTCTGGTCAATTATGTTTTCTGGACAATTTTGTCTTCCTAACATAAATTCAGCTTTATACACCTCCTGATATTGCGGAGGTTTTGTTTTTACAACTAAAACTTGTCATTTTTAGTTCATAATGCAGAAAACTAAACACTTCCATCATCACTCATATTGTTTTTTAACTTGCTCAATCTTCTGTTATAATATAAAATTCCTTTTTGTTGTATCATTTTATTTGTTTGTTTTATGTATATATCCTTTTGAATGTTTATGCTTGAACTTTTTTGTGGCTCCACCGCATGAGCAACCTTCTGTCCGTTCTTTTCCTGATTGGGGATCCATGCAAGTTAGAATGTAATCTGCACTAGCTCTATGTTTGTTTAGGATGTCGTCTATTAGTTTCTATTTTGGGGCATTTACATACATAACATACAATTCTTACGTATTTACACATCTAACACCTAAACATTCATTTTTACATACATGTCACTCAAATCTTTAACTTCAAATCAAAAATACCACAACCACTATCTCCTTAAAAGTGAAATACACTTTTTCATATATAGATTAATGAGACCAAAGAGTTATAAATGCAAATATTAAACTTTTAGTGTTAGTTATGTAAATACGTACAAATTGTGTATTGTATGTAATTTTCCCTATTTTCATTGACTGCTTTCGTAAGTTATTGCTTTGTTCATGAAATGATTCTATTGGGTTGTTTAGTTGAGAAGTGCTTAATTAATGTTTTTATAGCCTTCGTAGTCGCTTGTGGTTCAACTGTTTCCCAACCGGACAAGGTTGCTCGAAATTCTATCGTGTCACATCCAGGCAACATTTCTCGTGACATGCTTCTAAGTTGTAAAATGAATAATCATTTTTTTACTTGTAATTTTAACATGTTATTTCTTCGTTTTTTTAGGTTTCATGACACTCACTATTAGGTGAGTTGCATATCTTTTTTGTACTGTTATAAAGAGGTTTTAAAATATCTAATGTGTAGATATTGCAGTTTTGTTGAGAACATTACAACTTCTGCATACCAAATTGTTCATTTGCTTAAAAAAATCTGCAAATCAGCTGCTTTCGAAACACACAAACCAAACAGCTAAACAACTTATCCAAAACAGAGGCAGAATGGTTATTTATCAGGCAGAATGGTCATTTATCAAGAATCAGTTGTTTTCCAAATGCACAAAACAAACAACCAACCAAAATAGTCAGACAGTTTATCCGGATTAGCTGCTGATCAGCAGCTTATCAGGATAAGCAGCTTATCTGGATAAGCTGGATAAGTTGCAGCTGCCCCAAACAGACCCAAAGAGTAAGGAAATCTCCATGGTAAATTCATTTTTTCAAGCTACAAATACTTGAAAAAAATTTTATTAGATGGTGATTAGATCTGCAAAGGTTTATGGCGTAGAATGTTGGCCTTTAAAAGAGAAACATAAAACTAAGTGTTGCCAAGATGCCAAGATGAGAATGCTTAGGTGGATGAGTGGCTTGACACTTAGAGACAAATAGCGAAAGGAATGTATCTGGGAAAGTTTTGGTATAGCTCCCCAGTGGAAGATAAGATTAGAAAGAGTTATCTTACATGGATTGATCACATTAAACATCGGTCATCTGATGATGTGGTTAAAAAAGTAAATGTTTTATATTTGACTTAGACACTTAAACACAATCGAGAAAAAGGATTCATGTAGCCGACCTCATTTAGTGGGATAAGGACTTGTTGTTGTTGTTATAGAAAAATTTCATTGCGTATCAGTCCTATTCATAAGAATTATGTTAACAAAAATTAACACAAAAAAAAATAAAAAGAAAACTTTGGAGGGAAAGATAGATGGCCAAAAATGGAGTAAAAGTGTCAACCATCTTCATGAATTTATTTTATCATTCATTTTTATTATTAAATGGCCAATCCATACAAAACATCAAATCTGCAAAGTCAAACTCATAAAATCTAAATCTAAAAATTAAAGAGCAATGTGCCAAAATAGTCCCCGAACTATTTACAAAGGTGGTCATTTTAGTCTCAATGTTTATAAGAGTATCAGTTTAACCACTAGACTATTTTAATAGTGATACAAAGCATCGGTTCCACAGCATCGCAGAAAGGCAACAACATGGCAAGGCATTGAGCTGCCGGTTATTGCATATTTTTCTTCTTTCTTTTTTTCTATTAATGATTTTTTTCATATTTCCCTATTTGTAATTATGTGACTTTCTATCATATAACTTTTATATATGTGGTATTTTGGTTATTTTGAAACATTGACTTGATTTGAACATAAAAGAGTCTGTGGACTAAATTGACATCTTTATAAAATTTGAAACTAAAATGACCCACTGTAAAGAGTCAGAGGATCAATTTGACACATTTCGCAAAATTTAAATAATAAATCTAAAATCAATTTTTTTCTTTTTTATTGCGATCTTGTGATAGGCCATACTTGTGCTCTTGCTTTGGGCACTCTTTTAAGCTCTTGCCTAGGCTTTTGTAATTGAATATTTGAATTCATTTGTTTGATCTACATGATGTAGTACATCACAAAATTTTCAGCACATGTCTTTTACATCTTATCCATCCTAATTTGTAGCAAATTCAACTTATTGTTCTAATTTCTGCTACCAAGTGACCCAGCTAATTTCTTCTATTTGACGTCCTTGAATGAATTACAAGAAGTTTACTTACCTCTATAATGTTATATGCCTGGCAATAGTCACATGGATCAATCTTTGCATGGACATCTAAATGAATATTGTGGTTTTCTAGAATGGTCATTAGACCTAAATTTAAAGTTAAGCAAAACTTCAACTGCACTCGTGCCTTAGAGCGCATAAAAATAAGTAAAGAGAAAAACATAAGTTAATAAAAGCAAATGTGATCAAATGATTAAGATGAGCACAAACTGTGAAACAGAATGTAAAAATGATTTACAATTGCATCGTTTGCACTGCAACAATGAAGATTCCGGTCTGACAAAATAGGAAACAATGCATTTAATGAATAATATGAAACACGAGCAAACAATGATTTGGACAGCACCAAAATTTGGTTGTTCCCTTCAAGAATGTGCAGCTAAATCAATCAACAGCAAATTAATCAAAAAAACTTCAAACAAAAAACCCTACCCATCTCCTTCATCTTTGCCTTAAACTTGTCAACTAGCTGTAACATGGTTGCCCTCTGTTCATGTTCTTGCATGTCCCTTAACATGGTCACTATGGTTTTGGCATGACCTGAAAAACATAAAAATTGTCAAAATGCAAAAGATCTAAACAGATATGCATGCATGTATAGATCCAGAGCTTCTGAAACATTGTAAACAATCAAAAATACAATGCAGGATCTCTGGTATCAATACAAACTTGCATTGATAAAATCGAGTGCTTTCACCAGTGCACTCACTAGTGTGATAATAAAAAATGAAAATAGCATATGATTACTTCCAAGTAAATTGCAGAACTGCTGCAACAACGAGAATTTTTGTCAATTACCTTTTTGCAGCTTTTTAGAGAATATGTAGTTACACGATTATCTTTGAACCAAATTCAAATAAACCCCATTCCCTTCCTACTTCTAAGTACTCTGTTAGATGTGCATAAAAAGTCTGCCAGCTTTTCACTTGGCTATTTCTTGATTACTCAGGGCACGTTAGGAAAATAAAATTGAAAAAAGAAATATCTTCAGTTATTGGCATGACAAGAAAGCATGGTCCGATCAATGATGCAACCCTTCTCTTTGAATTCTTAAACTCCATTATTTCCTATCAGCCATTTGAGCATAGCAAGATGAAACCTTTTCTTGCCATGATGAAAACAATTGTATTATTAAACATGAAGCAAGCTGCAAACTCCTCTTGCTTTTACAGTAAGATGGGTATGATATCCATCTGCTTAAACCACTCCAATAGTGGTGTTCTATTTTAAAATCTTCATACAATTCGATAAGATGAATAACCATATTACAATTGTACCCTAGAAGATCTCATGAACCAAATGGATCAAATACTCCCAATCATTTGTCAAAATATTTGGACAAAACATTATCAACAATTTAACTCTAGAGCTTGCCTTGTATGGGTCAATAATGCAATATTCCCAAATTGGTCGAACTAATCCAGATGGGATTACATGGGCTAAATAAACCAAAGTGGCCCTAATCACCAAATCAATCACATATAAAGCTCTTATAGGATGATTATGATAATTTAAATGAATCCAATTATCTTTTAATCAATTATTTGTTCATATATGGGCAGTAAATTAGGCCCTCTCCTTAAAGGGGGGCACCTCGCCATTTAATGACCTAATTCAACTGAGTGATCAAATTCAACCAGATCCTTAGAAATATAATGAAGGATGTCAAGAAAATATTTTTAGTTCAACTCAATTCATTTTGACATCTCTAATTTGGTCAATCAAACCACAATAAGTTAGCCTCTCCCATACAAGCCCAAGTTAGTGACTTTTATTTTGGGAGTGATTTAGCCTAAACAAATGTCAAAATTTGGCCAAACCTTCAAAAGTAATTTTAATATGGGGTCATAGGATTACGATCCAATTGGGCTCAATTCATTTAGTCCGATGGCTTAGCCACAATTAAGCAAATGGTTCCATGTGTCCCATTTGACCCAATTGAAATGGAATTGAGTCGAACCATACCAAACCTTCAAACCAACACATCCAATTGATCCTACCAATTTCACCAAACAGAATTAATTCCTATAAACATTTAAACCATGTAAGACCCAATCAACTTGGTCTAAACATTGGGTAATAGCTTGATTAGAATGAGATACGTGAAAAGAACACTTAAATAATCAAAATTTGCCAACATCCTCGCTTGAGCTGATCCTTGTATGTCTTGTGGCTTCACCCTAAGCACTAGATACCTCTAATCAGGCCAGATGGCAGTTTAAGGCCAGAGAGGGCAAGGGTGAAAGAAAGGAGGAAGGGTTCACTAAAACCAATACTTGCCAGAGCTTCACCACACATCTAGCCCTTCACAATACCATCCAACACCCACCCAAACTCAGCCAGTGAGCTTAGGCACCATAAAGCAACTTGTTAGAGCTTAGTTATTGCACAAGTGGTGAAATCAATTAACGCCAGACCAATTTAACCTATCATTAGCAAATTCTCGCCAAATTGAGGGTGAGAAAATCCTTTCTTCAAGCTAAATTGGCTCAAGCGATTATAACTTATTAAACCGCCTAGTAACCATGAAGTATTTGTGTGTGTACAGATACAAGGATATGGCTAGGAGAAAAAACAATCAATCTCAGGCCCCTCTCAAGCTTCCGAATAAACGAATTTGCACAAGTAAGCAACTTAACCCCTACCTAGTTTTCTGCTTCAGGCTCACCACAAGGAGAAAGTCAAAATCAAAGCCATCCAATGTATTTTAACATGGTGAAAGGTTTTGATACAGTCGAACTGGCACCAGTCTAGCCCACCCATAATTATAATTAATTTTTGGAACATTTTCTTTTTTTATTTTTCTACAAACTCATTAATAAGATGTAGGCATTAAGAAAAATATTGGTGTAATAAAAACCAATAAGTATTTTAATTCTACGTATCAGAATTTGCTAATTAATTGTTTAATTCATTATATTTATTTAATTAATCACTTCAAATTTTTATTTACCAGTGTCGAGAATCTTCCAAATAATTCTCAATGTCAAAACGGAGTAGGATCACAGGATTAGAGAAAACCAGAACAATAAATTTAAACGAGAAGCACAATAAAAAAACAACCAGAAAATAACAAAAGAATTTTACGCGGAAAAACATGAAAACGGAAAAAAAATCACAGAGTCACACTACCACAAATTTCACTATGAATTTCAGAGAGTTCTACAAAGGATTCACAAAAGCTTCTTCTCCATCACTCCACACTCTTAATCCAACGCAAAAATGCACGTTGAAAAACACTAGAATCCTTCTCACCAACACTTCCTACCTTCACTGGGATTTTTTTTATGAAAAACAGGAAGAGTTACGCTCAAAGCCAACATATAAGCTTGTCCGAAATCATGAAATAAATAGTAATTCTCGTGAAGACTGCTCTGGTGTCTGGGCGCCCAGATTTGGCACCTGGGCGCCCATTTCTCTAGAAGCAGGTGCCCCAGCGCCAGAACTAGGCGCCTACGCGCCCACTTTGGGCACAAGACCACAAGACTTCCACCTTCTTGGTCTGGGAACACTCAATGGACACTTAAGAGCCCATAGCCCAACGCCTTAACCCTAGATGCATTGACTACGTGGAAGCTAGCCTGCCCGCTTCTCATGGGTGTTACAATTAGAGTCCACAACTAGCACATAGTAATTATAATTTTAACTTATTTAGATTTTATTTAAGTAAGCTAATAGCATATTTCGGGACAATTACAAGAAAATTAATGTCTGATGCGAGCAAGCCTATTTAAACTTTTTTGAAAATCTAAACACAAGTAGGATAGTTTGTTTCATAAGAAGGGACTCCAAAGAGAGATTTTCACAACTAAATTTCATCTTCTTCGTTGTCGCCTTTGCCTCGATTCGCCTCGACTTCATCGTACGTCTCCGCGGTTGCTTCGTGCGACGTTTGGTCTGGCGTCGTCTGCGGTGCAGAGCGACACAGAAGTTGGTTTTCCTCTGCTCCTCTCCCTACAAGTGTTGATGGCTTCGAGAGTTTCGTATGCCGCCGCACTTGCTGGCGACACCATCACTCGCACTCTTTCTTCGAGTATGTTCCGGCAGCAATACCATGACACTCTAGCTCTAGGCGTTGACACCGGATTTCTCAAAAAAGTGTCCCGTAAAAATGATAAACCTGCACTCTTTCTCTCTGATGCCGAGATCGCCGCCTTAGCTTCATCCTGTCGGTTGGTCTTAGTTGGAAAGTTCCTCTATGGGAACCCAAAACTCGAGGTAATTCGAAAAGAGTTTGAGCAAATGCGTCTGAAAGCTGAATGGAAGATTGGTCAACTGGACAGTAGACATGTTCTTATCTAATTATCAGATGATGAAAATTGTGCTCATTGTTTGCGAGAAGCCTCGTTTGCATTGATAATCGTGTGATGAAAGTTTTAAAATGGATGGTCGACTTTGATCCTTTCACTGAACCTCCTATCATTCTTGTATGGCTATGCTTTCCGGGTCTGAAGTTCCATCTCTTCAATCATGAGCTCCTCTACTCCTTAGCTTTGGTCTACGGTAAACCCCTCAAAACTGATAGTCCTACACTTCATCGGAGAAGGCCTTCTGAAGTCAGAGATTTAATTGAACGAGACATTACTTTACCATTTCCGAGGGAGATATGGATTGACTCACAGCATCAAAGTTTTTGGCAGTGGGTGGAACTTGAACAGGTCCCACTTTGCTGCACCCAATGTGGTATGTTTGGACACTCTCACTCTCAATGTCATTATTTGCATCCTCATTTAAAACTTCAGAGTAAGAATGTTACTGAGCCCCCTGCCCCAACTCACACCTTCCCCTCCTCCACCCCTGAGTGCATCCACTGGCTATTGACACATTGGTTGAAACGCCATATGTTCTCCCTCCCGTTCTCCCTCCTCTAAATACCGTTTCTCCCATCATTGCCGCCTGTAACCCTCTTACCATCGAAGAACCACCCCCTGATAATATTGTTTCTATTTTTGTGAGTGGCGTGTTGTCGGATGGTTCAGCATAGCTGGAAGGCGTCGCAGCTCTTCACCTTCGGGAGGCCCCATGTGCAGACGAGACATTACATGCTTCACATACCCCAGAGCCTATCAGTGTTTCTACTGCGCATCTACCACGTCATCAGACCGAGCAAGTGTTTACTGTTTGTCAGGCGCAAGGAGCTCAAGGAGCTCATCGGCTTATACATGCCGACAATCTGTCGATTAACACACTGATAAGATGAGCCAGAAGAGAAATGACAGGTTTACACATCCAGGAGAAAGAAGAAGAATGGAGGTCCACTTGAGCTCAAAAACTTCATTGATGATACTTGGTTACTTCGGGTAATGGCACAAAACCCAATAATTTATTAGTTGGCTCTCTTCCTAAAACTAGAGGCAGAGGCAGGACTAAATTGGGTCGATCCTTAGCTACATGATTCTACGATTCAACTGTTTTGGCTTTTTTGGATTAACATGTATTTTTTCTTTTTTGGGATTCTTGTGTGTGTTGTACTGTGTGAGTAGGTTGCCTTTTACGGACCCTCTCATACTTTCTATCGATATCTTTTCTTTATTAATATA